AGGACAGGACCAGATGTAACAGGTTTTTACTTGATGTCTTTGATCTCCTTAATTCTGTTATTCAAGTCAAAGAGCATGTATCATTAGCTAGTGTGTTTTCTTTATGTGCCTGTCACCAAGGGTCTTGAGATTAATGAGGTGATGCCTCTGACTTTATTAGGTTAGCTGTACATAAACCAAATCAGGGTATGCTTGATTAGAGCAGAGCTTCATTTTGTGTTGGACAAAATGTTATATTTATGTTGAAGCTCCTGAGGTTGTTGACTTGTGTACTTACAAGTCACAACTGGGGCAAGTCTGTTTTCCTTTTTTCCGTTTCCTTTCATTCTTTGGTCTTCTATTGTTGCCTTTCCTTTGCCTTCTGAACTCCTTTCTTTCCTTTCCTATAGGCACCGATGTTCTTTACATTGGCCCTCTGAAAGGTGAGCCTCACCACAATCACACACAGTGTGTCAGTCTGCGCTTCAGCCATAGCTCTACTTCCTAGTTCCCTCAAACTGGCTTTTTCCTCAGAGTTTCTGCCAATGTAATTACACTCTCACGGCTTTGGTGCTGTGTGTTCTAATGTATGAGCAGAATTCTTTTGTGTTTTGAGGCAGGTAAATAACGTACTAAAGCTTTCCTTCCAGATTGAAGCTTGTGGCTCAGTGTGCTTCCTACCGTAGTGTGTGTCATCACTGAGCTATTCTGAGCAGCTCCTCACAGCCGTCTCTTCTCACTTACTAGGAAGCATATATTCAAGCCCCGGACTTTATAGTAAAACAATGACCCCTACTTACGACGCTCATGATGGAAGCCCCTTGTCACCAACTTCTGCCTGGTTTGGTGACAGTGCCCTGTCAGAAGGCAATCCCGGGATACTTGCTGTCAGTCAGCCAGTAACATCACCAGAAATACTGGCAAAAATGTTCAAGCCTCAAGCTCTTCTTGATAAAGCAAAAACCAACCAAGGGTAAGTTTTGGGTTTTTTGAGACAGGGTGTCTCTTTAGAGACCAGGCTGGTTCCAAACTCACACAGAACTGCCTGACTCTGCCTCCCAAGTCCTGGGATTAATTTTTAAAAGGCATACACCAGGAGGCCTGGCCAGGGGTAAGTTATAATTTACGTGGTGGAGGATTTGGTTAGCTGTGTCTGCAATGCTCAGTGCTGTTCTCTGCTTGGTCCAGGTGGCTCGATTCCTCAAGATCTCTAATGGAGCAGGATGTGAAGGAGAACGAGGCCTTGCTGCTCCGATTCAAGTATTACAGCTTTTTTGATTTGAACCCAAAGGTACCAAGGATTTAAAGGGGTCTTTCTACTTCTGTTTCTCTTCTCATCTGAGTGTTAAGAAACTATAGCAAGTTTTGGATAACACTCAAAAGATACAAATACTTTTAGGCAAAGGTATATTATTCTGAATAAATCTGGTATTTTCCTAGCTTGAAACTATGTTTGAACATTTTTAGTCCCTTTTGTTAAGGTAATTGTATTTTCTTTGTGTGTTTCAAAGGTACTGTTTACTTTTTTAAAAATTTATTATCTGCAAGTATATTGTAAGGTACAGAATAATTTTCTGGGGATGGAGAGATGGCTCAGCAGTTAAGAGCACTGCTCTTCCAGAGGACCTGGGTTCAGTTCCCAGCATCCTCATGGCCGCTGTTCAGGGGATCATACACCTTTACATAGACAGACATGTAAGCAAAACACCAATGTACATAAATCATTTTTTTAAGATTAAAAAAATACTTTCCTGAAAGATAACTTTTTGTATTATTTTTTGGTGTTTTGATTTTGTATGTGGGTTTTTTTTTGGGGGCGGGGGGCTGGCCGATTTGGGGGTTTTGTTTTATTTTTTGAGGCAGGGTAGCCCTGGCTATCCTGGAACTCTATGTAGACAAAGCTGGATTCAAACTCACGGAGATCCACCTGCCTCTGCCTCCCTGGTGCTAGGATTAAAGGTGTGTACCAAGCCTGCTTTGTATTGTTTTACCATCTACATGTTATCCTACCTAATAACTTATTAATTTCTGTGACTGGTAAGTCGGCTCAGCTATAACTCTTTGCTTTTCTGCTGCAATTTAACTTTGCTCTGAAAATCTGTTTTTCCCCAAGAACAGGTGGCTCATAGGTTTGGACTCTTTGGGGAGAGAGACCCGTGGCTTTTTGCTTCATGTCTGAATTGTGCTCTAGCTAGCGCAGTGGGTCTCAGCCTTCTCAATGCTGCGATCCTGCAATACCATTCCTCACGTTGTGGTGACCCCAAACCATAAAATTATTTTTGTTGTTGCTTTATAGCTAATTTGCTACTGTTATGAGTGGTAATGTAAGTATGTTTTCTGATGGCTCTAGGCAACCCCTGAGAAAGCATTGTTAACACACACACACCAGAGTTGCTACTCACAGGTTGAAACCACTGATCTAGTGTCTTCCACTGTGTGTTCATGTAATTTTTTGCAAACATACACACTCACACACACATATATTTTAACATATATATTAAACAATATATAATAGAACTACTAAGGATTTGTTTTCTGGCCATATCATATCTACTTGTAGTTGTAGGTTGGGGGTAGAATGTTTGATTAACATTTTAAGAGCACTACTTTTTGCTAATATAATTAAATGGACAGTCTAATAACATAGATAAACATACTTCCCAAATTGCATATCTCCTGTCTGCTTTGGACACTTAAAATAACTCCCCCTTTTGAGGATCTTCCTCCTTGGGTGTTTCCCTCTATGAACAAGGTATGTCCCAAAGTAATTGATTTGTTTTCACTGGATTTTACTGTGGCAAGACAAAATAACAATGTTTAAAACCATCTATATTTGTACCTTGTTTTAATTTTTCCAACTATAGTTCTCACCACCACCCCCTTCCCTCCCTCTCTTTATTCTGTGTTTGGTCTTTGAGCCAGACCAGCCATTCTACATAGGCTGCCAGGAACTTAGTATGAAACCCAGGCTGGCCTCAAACTTGTGATCCCCCAGACTCTGGGTACTGATTTACAAGGCTGCAGCAATATCCAATTTCATGAGGTCTGTTTTGTTTTTGAGACAAGATCTGTGCAGCCTGGGCTGGCCTGAAAATGAATGATCTTCCTACCTTAGCCTTCCAAGTGCCAGGAGAGCAGACATGTACCATCATACCCTGCTTCAAATTAGGTTTCTTACATTGAAATGGTAACACTTAGCTGTTACGCGAGCGACCCCTGCCCCCCCCCCACCCCAGCATCAGTGCTGTGCTGGGGTTGAGTCCTCTGTCACTCTAGGCAGCTCCCTCCATCCAGTGAGCTACATCCCTGAGTAATTCTCTTATTAGAGTTTATATCATTTTGAGTGGAAAATTAGATGTATCTGTAGTCATGTCTAACACTCTTCCCTCTTTCTGAATTATTTTGATACTAAAAGGCTGAAAAAAATTATTCACTTTTTGTCATACTTTAAAAGTGTGTATTTAGCTGGGCGTTGTGACGTGTGCCTTTAACAGCAACATCCAGGAGGCAGAGGCAGGAGGCTCTCAAGTTCAAGACTAGTTAGTCTAGATAGCAAGTTGCAGGCCATCCAAGGCTGAAGTGAGACCCTGTCTCAGAAAGGTGAGTAGGGGTACTAGAGAGGTAGGTCACTGGTTAAGAGCACTTGCAGAAGACCTGGGTTCACTTCTCAGCACCACACAGCACCTCACAACTGTCCATAACTCCAGTTCCAGAGGACCCAACAGGCACTGGGCATGTATGTAGTGTACTAACATACGCAAGAGCAAAACATTTATAAAATGTTTTTAAAAGAGACTATTTAAAGACTTAATATTTTAAAATTTAGGTGTATGTGAGTCCACAGAGGCCAGAGGTATCAGAAGCTGAAATTACAGGCAATTGTGAGCCATCCTACATGAGTTCTTCCACAGTAGCAGTGTGCATACTTAATTGCTTAGTCATCTCCCGTTGCGAACTTTCTGGTATTGAAAACACTGTATTACAGACCACATCTCCTTTGTTCTGCAGTATGATGCCATCAGAATCAATCAGCTTTACGAGCAGGCCAAGTGGGCTCTTCTCCTGGAAGAGATTGAATGCACGGAAGAAGAGATGATGATGTTCGCAGCCTTGCAGGTAGATAGAAGAATCAGTGGGCAACTTCTACGGGGGGGGGGGGGGGGGGGAGAGAAGAGTGGTATAGTGATTATGCAAGCATTTGATGCTGTTACTTTTGCTATGTAGAAAGTACCACTTAGGGTTGGCAAGATGGCTCAGTTGGTAGATGCTTGCTACCCAGCATGATAACCCAGGTTTGATATTCAGGACCTACTTGGTGGAAAGCGAGAACCAGCTCCCAGAGATTGCCTTCTGAGGCTGGACATATGGTACTTTAGTCCCAATCCTGGGGAGGCAGAGGACTTTTGTGAGTCCGAATCAGGGTCTCACTCTGTAGCCCTGGCTCTCCTAGAACTTCCTCTGTAGACCAGGCTGGCCTTGAATTTACAGAGATCCACCTGCCTCTGCCTCCTGGGTGCTGGGATTAAAGGTATGCGCCACCACTGCCCATTTTTTTCTGTTTGGTTTTAAAGTCCTTTCAACTCCACGCACACGCAGTAAACAAATGACAAATTTTAGACATTGAAAGTGGACATTTGCCGGGCAGTGGTGGCGCACACCTTTAATCCCAGCACTTGGGAGGCAGAGGCAGGCAGATTTCTGAGTTCGAGGCCAGCCTGGTCTACAGAGTGAGTTCCAAGACAGCCAGGGCTACACAGAGAAACTGTGTCTCGAAAAACAAAAAACAAAAAAAGAAAGAAAGAAAGTAAAACAAACATGATTTTGTTTTGTTTTGTTACTTTCCTGACTCTTTTGGGAAAAATTGTTCTTTTCCCTCCCAGTATATACTAATTTGAAGTTAACTCAATTTTCTCTTGGAAATAAAAAGCTGACAATATTAAGTTGATGATGAGATACATTTCCAGTTGGCTGTGGCAGAAATAATGACTTTTAAGTAATAAGAGTTCAAGAGACTAAGATAAACATAAATGTTTTTATGATTAATAATTAAGTGGAAACTAATGTTTCTTTAAAATAGTATTTTTTTCAAATGTGAGCCTTGGATACCCTGTGCTTCTGAATTATAGTGGTACTTATTAAAAAACTATCCACTCCCATTGCTGATCCACCCTCAGTGAAATAGCTTTAGACCAATCAGAGTTCTTAGAAGCAGTGACATCCATTGTCACCGGGTTGATTCTCTTTCAGATTTCACTATAGCTGAGTGGGGCTTTGGCAAGAACTCCTGGGTTATGATGGGAGTTTAGTCTTCCCTAAGGTCCCAGTGCAATTGGTAGTCTTTAAATAGAAGTGGGAGAAGAGCTGACCCTCCATTAAGAAGCCCTCTCCCTGAAGAGATTTTACTTCTTTTCTCAGAACACAAAAATGTTCAGCCTTCCCAATGTACCAAAATGCCAGAAAGTTCACAGTGACAACCAGAGCCACTGTGGGAGGGGAAAGAACATAAAGCAAGTTCTTCCTGATTGATGAATTCATCAGTTGTTTTAGAGAGATGATTAAGCATTTGGTTAAAACTCTTATACTGTTTCTGAGTGGATTCAGCTGTCTGGAGAACTTCCTGAGTTAACTCTGGGCACAGTTCATTGGGAGCCTCACTTGAGTAACTTATATATATTTTGCACTGTGCATGCAGACTTACTGCTTTCTGGTGGAAGTTTTGCCAGAAACCAGCATCAGACATGTGAAGCATGTCTGCTTTACAACCACAGATGTTATTGTAGAGCATTGTTCTTTGTTTTGGTGATTGAGCCCAAAGCCTTCACATGCTAAGCAAGCATTCTGCCACTGACATCCATCCCAGAAAGACTTAGATTCACAGTAACTGAAGGCCCTCAGGCACTGCCCTCTTTTTTTGTTTGTTTGTTTGTTTGTTTGTTTGTTTGTTTTTCGAGACAGGGTTTCTCTGTGTAGCCCAGGCTGTCCTGGAACTCACTCTGTAGACCAGGCTGGCCTTGAACTCAGAAATCCGCCTGCCTCTGCCTCCCAAGTGCTGGGATTAAAGGCGTGCACCACCACCACCCGGCCAGTTTCCTATTCTTAGATAGCTATGAAGCATTGAGTCAGAACTGGGGAGAGTGGAGCTGGCTTCCTCTTTGTCCTGAGTAGTTGGGATTGTAGGGCAGTGTGGGTTAATTTTCTCCAGTTATGTGAAACAAATGGCTTAGTTCATCCCTACAGAAGACGTCATGCATGGTCTGAACCTTCATGGGCTGTGCATCTATCTGTACAAGGCCCTGTTCTAGTTGGTGGACACAACCAACCAACAACAGGCAACAAAAACTGCTCGTGTAATGTAGTAGCAGACCCGTAAATTCCCTTCACACCAAGGGAACCAGAGACTGAGTTCATTTGTGTGTATACAGAGACTGTGCTCTTTTGAGTAAGTCTTTCTGAGTAGGGCTGTCACAATGATCCCAGGTGCCGTGGCCCATGGCTTTTTATCCTTCCAGTCCCAAGACACTTTGCTTACTTTGATGTGTGTGGGTCTTTTATCTGCATTTTGTCTGTGCACATGTGCGTGCAGTATCTGTGGAGACCAGAAGAGGGCGCTGGATCCACCAGACCTGCAGTTAGAGACAGTTGTGAGCTGTGTGGGTGCTGGAAATCAAACCTAGGTCCACTGCAAAAGCAGCAAATGCTTTTAGCTCCTGAGCCATCCTCTTTCCAGGCCCCTCACCCTGATGCGTTATCTTTGCAAATTAGATGACCAAAAAATTCCAATATAAAGTCAAGTAGAAATTTCATCGTAAAGTTCTGCAGTTAAACAGTCATTTCAACAACATGTTATTGTGGTTTCAGTATCATATCAATAAGCTGTCAATCATGACATCAGAAAATCACTTAAACAACAGTGACAAAGAAGTTGATGAAGTTGATGCGGCCCTTTCTGACCTGGAGATCACTTTGGAAGGCGGGAAAACATCAACAATTCTGGTAGGGTAAATCTTCAGCTATTGGATGGTTTTAGCCAGTCCTTATCTTGGTGTGGGTTTTCCATTGCCAGATAAGGTACCTTCAAGGTAGCTTCTTTACAGAAGCCAGTCATGGATTCTTAGGAAACTTCAGAGAAGTTTTTGTGGTGGGAAGATTGACCCCAGGGCCTCATCCTTCACCCCAAGAAACCTTTTGTGAAGAAATAGTGTTAGCAGTAGCTAGGGCTTCCAACACAAACACTTGTTTTGCAAGTGGTGGGAAGGCATTTCTCCAGGGGAAAGAGTAGTCGAGTCATGGTAAGGTTCATATGGTAGTCTCATCTCTAGAGTCTCACAGCAGTGGTTAATACTGCTTATTTTTAAAGCTAATGAATGACTTATTGCTGAAGAAACATTTTCTCTGTGTCATTATTATGATTTATCATATTTCCATATGTTGCTACAAACAATTTCAGCTATATTTAGAAGTAACAATATATGCTTAGAGTTGTACAAATTGTCATTTTCTCCAAATTTCTAACTTTCTACACTATTCCGAAATGCTTTTGTAACAAGACTGTGTAATATGATCATATCATTTAAGTCTTTAACATATGAATTTTGAATAAAGAGAAATATTAATTTGAATTCTTTCCTTAGGGTGACATTACTTCAATCCCAGAACTTGCTGACTATATTAAAGTTTTCAAGTAAGTACAAAAGTGGGAGAGAAGTCACATACAAATAAGAACTGTCTGTTTTATAGCCATGTCCACATGATTTAAGTTTGCAGGAAGTTTGTCACGTTTATTTGTAAAGTAAATCTGTAAGATTTACCAGTTAAACACTTACAATCAAGGTAATCGTGTTCATTAAATTAAAACCACAGCAGTCACTGTTTTCATCTTTTTGATTTTGATCTTAAAAGCATCTTTTTTGATTGTATCTCATAGTTGGTGATAGAGGCTGACCCCAGTGGGCTCATGTGGTGCCCTGTGACTGCCAGTGTTAGTTCTTGGCTAAGAGCTCCAGGCTCCGCTAGCTTGTTCTCATGTGCTCCTGAACCCTTGCCTCTAAGGTCCCAGTAAATCTTTCTAGACTTTTAAGCAATGCACCTGTGATCCTCAAACTTGAGAGCTGAGGAGTGGGGCAGATGGGAGACAAAGATGCAGTGCCCGCTGCCCACTGTCCTGCTGTGCTGTGTAACTGTTGCAGTATAATATCACAGTCCACAGTTTGTACCACAACAGCAAATTTGCCAAATGTCACTGTCTCTGCCCTCTTCCTTTCCCACACTCTGGCATTGGAGTGGCATGTTGGTGTCAGGACTGGACTCTTCCTTCCGTGCAGTCATGCTGAGGACGCATGCAGAGGCTTCAGCAGCAGTAATGCTGCGACACCACTGCCTGTGCAGTTACTGGTGCACATGGACCCTTGCGAGCTTTGAGTGAGACGTGCGGGCCGTGGGCTCTCCACCCTCTCACTTATTGAGAAGGGAGAGCACACCAGCAGCCTGGACCAGGAACAAACGGCCAAAGGGAGATGATTTCAGCCTGTAAAGTTGGCCTCAGGTTTTTCAACACTTAAGCAATGTAACTGCTAAAGCATAGCCCTGGCAAAGTTACTTCAGAATGGTCATTGTTTCAAGTCTGTTTGACTTGTAGGCCTAAGAAGCTGACTTTAAAGGGGTACAAGCAGTACTGGTGCACTTTCAAAGACACGTCCATCTCCTGCTACAAGAGCCGAGAAGAGTCCAGTGGTACACCTGCTCATCAGATGAACCTCAGAGGTGGGGAGGCCTCTCGACCTGTGAACTCTGTCGGGTCGATAGTCAGTGCCTGTCACTTGCCAGCGCCTGCCTGGCACTTTGTTTACACCTTCGGGGTTCTCAAAAGGGTTTAGGTTCTCTAGTTTGGTATCGAGTTGCATGTGGATATCTTGTTGTGTTCTGTGGGCAGACCCGAGCTGAAGTATTCAGTTATTATGTCACTTTTTTTGATCTTGATTGTTAGAACATTAGGGTTCCCCCATTTTCAGCCTTGTGGTTATCACCTCTGCACTTCTGGTCTCTCCCTTGGTCATTGGCATTCTGCTTGTACTTAGCCTCTGATCATAGGCTGGTTCTGGTCAGCGTGCTTAACCTCTCTTTCCCTGACCACAGACTTTAAGTATGTGGCCCAGTCTCTCTCTTCCTCATCCAGGTGGTTTTTGGGGTGGTTTTTTTATTGTTATGTTGGTTCTGGGTTTTGGTTGTTTGTTTTTTGTTTGGATTTGGGGTGGGGGGGAGGGGGGGAGGGAAGGTTCCAGGCAGGGGTTTCTTTATGTCCCTGGTTATCCTGGAGCTTGCTCTTTGAACCAGGCTGGCTGCAAACTCACAGAGATCCACCTGCCTCTGCCTCCCTAGTGCGGGATTAAAGGAAGGTGTACACCACCATCACCACCCACGCATCCACTTTTTTTTTCCTTACTTTTTGCTCTCCCCTAGGCAAGCACAGGATGTCCCTGTTAGGCTCCTAGCTGCCAGCTTCAGTCTCCCTTTCCATTGTCAGAGCTGAGATGGAGGGGCTGGAGCTTAAGGTGCATGCTCCTCTCAGAGCACCTGCAGGCTTGCAGCCTGCAGCCTGGGCTGCACCTTGGTACTGGCTCAGCTGTTAACTCTGCTTTTTTACTTAGTATTTTTTTGAAGCTTTATCTCATTTTTAAGTGTGCTTGTGTGTGTGTGTGTGTGTGTGTGTGTGTGTGTATCTGTCTGTGTCTATGTGTACAGGTATCTAGAAGAGTCTGGAAAAGGGTATCAGATCCACTGGAGCTGAACTAGGAGGCACTTGTAACTGAGCTCCTGCTGAGCCACGCCTCCCCAGCCCCTGCTCAGTCTATTCATTCAGGCCTATGGGTGCAGCCACAGCTTCATTTGCCACATTGGTGGCCTCTGTCACTTCTTCCCTTCTTGCTCTTGACTGACACACAGGCTCAGGTGGAAGAGTTCCCTTCCATCTGGGGACTGGGTGGCACTCAGTGGTAGAGTGTCTGGTGTGTGTGAGACCCTGAGTGCAGGTCCCAGTACCCTTTGGAAATCAGTGCTGGTTTCTGCAGTGATGGTTTAGAAAAGGTCAGAGGGGAGGAGGTGGTGAGAGTTGCTGCTCTTATCGATCCGTGAGGGTGTGAATGTCATGGGCCAAATGGGGTCCGACTCAAGATGCTGAGAGGGATCCTAGTAGAGTTCACATGTAAAGTGTGTGCTGGCAGTGCACTCTAGGACCTGGGTTCCTGCTGCTACTAAAGTAAATAAACCTGTGGAGCAAAGACAGGAGCTGGCAGAAACTCCTGAGCAGGTGCAGTTGGGCAGAATTGGGGATGAGGAGATTCAAACATAAAACAGGGCTTAGGGAGAGAATAGTTTGGATGTGGAGAACAGATCAGGGAAGACCTATGATACAGGTACTAACATGATGGTTGCATGCATGGTAAATGTAACCACTCACTATGGTTAGCTCTAACATGAGAAGAAGACTCCCTGCTTCAGTTCTTGATATTTGTTTAAGGACTGATGACAGAATTATTAATTCTAAATCACCTAGAGGAGATTTGTGTGTCTTCACACATTTGTTTTAACTTCCTCACATAACTTCTCCCTTGTTTGAAAAGTTCCACAGAAGGCCTTATACGGCGGCTATTTGTATGTAGTAATGTTCCTAGAAAGAACAGGACTCTTTACCTAAAGTACCCTTTCTTTTAGTGGTTTAAACATTTCCTTGGAGGTAGAGCTGAGTTGTCTGGATTCTCACAGCTCATAAGAGTCTGCAGGTCTGCAGTTCTTAATCTTGCTCTGGGGCCACTTGAATGCAAGTCACCTTCCACTGAATAAGGGTATCCTTAAAGTGGACACAATTCAAAATAGTGAGACCTTACAAAATGAGGCTATTGTATTGGCTCAGGATTTCTTTTATTCATTTCTATAATTAATTTTATTATTTCAGGATGTGAAGTTACCCCAGATGTGAACATTTCAGGCCAGAAATTTAACATAAAACTCCTAATTCCGGTTGCAGAGGGCATGAATGAGATCTGGCTTCGTTGTGACAATGTAAGTTTTGCAATTAAACGTAAACCTTACCTTTCTGATTCCCAAGTTTGTTGGCCCACTGGCCCTATGTTCTTTCTGTACCTGGATCCTGAGCACCATGTGGCCTCATCTCTCGTCTTTCTACAGGAAAAGCAGTATGCACATTGGATGGCAGCTTGCAGATTAGCCTCCAAAGGCAAGACCATGGCAGACAGTTCTTACAACTTAGAAGTTCAGAATATTCTTTCCTTCCTGAAGATGCAGCATCTGAACCCAGATCCCCAGCTAATCCCTGACCAGATTACAACCGATATCAATCCCGAGTGTCTAGTGTCCCCTCGATACCTAAAGAAGTATAAGAACAAACAGGTATTCCATTCTGCTTAATCTGCTGGGTTTACCATTCTGTGCACATACTTTAAATGCTGTTTCTCCTGTTAAACGAAGGATACCAGCTTTGGTAGAATATGAAACAGGAAATGGGGGAGGTGTGGGTCAGCTTAAACTTCTTAGATCGTCTGTAAAGTTCATAGATGGAGCCAGTTTGTTCTGCTCAGCCCAAGGAAATTATCTTGTCCCCTGTGGAAACAGGACCAAAAAGCACATTCAGCTCTTCCCCAGCAGATCTAATTCTTGTTTTTGCTGAGGAAGACTTTTCCAGCTTTAGAAATAAACTGTTACGTGGTAGAGATAGTTTACCCTACATTACTGTCTAACAGGAGTAAAACCTAATGGAATCTTACACGAGGTTACAAAGTTGGATCAGTTTTAACCTAAAGTTCACTGCCTTTGTCCACTCTCTTTAGAAATCCTGTCCTGGAAATTAATACCATAAAAGGTTTGCTATTCAGGAAAATGGCTCTTTGATGCATCACGAAAGGTCCTTTGCAGGGGAATTTGACTCAAGAGCCCCCAGGATTCCCTTCACTGAACAGCACTCCATAAAAGGAAAGATTCAGATTAGGTGGGGGAGCAGAGAAGGCTTCTAAAATAAATAAATCATTTTTACCGGGTTTAATTTTTATCTTTCAGAAATAATTTTAAAACATTAAGGTCCAAACAGAACATTTTCTTCCTTAATTTTAAACATAACTTTATTAAAGAGCCTGAAACAGTTTCACTTTCCACAGAAATGTTCAGAACGTTAATCAGGAATGGTCTGTCTGTGCGGTTCAGAGGCCTCGTCAGAGCAGGCACATTGTTTATCCCCCAGTCACAGGCTGTGGGAGTGTGTGCGGAGGAATGGCAGAAGTGCTGCCCTGGGGAGCCTTGTGGAATGCAGATGAGTTAGGAAGGAAGGAGGAACCCCTGACCCCTTCTCACTGAAGAACTGTGTTCAAAGAGCCTAGTTTCTGAAAGTGAACTCTTCTGCCTTCAGATGCTCTCAGGTCTTAGTGGTTTGGTTGTTTCCATAGGTGTCAGGCATCCAGGATGATAGTTTCTTGTCTTTGAGTTATAGACAGAATGGGGCGGTGGTGGCACACGCCTTTAATCCCAGCACTTGGGAGGCAGAGGCAGAGGCAGGCAGATTTCTAAGTTCAAGGCCAGCCTGGTCTACAGAGTGAGTTCCAGGACAGCCAGGGCTACACAGAGAAACCCTGTCTCGAAAAACAAAACAAACAAAAAAAGAGTTGTAGACAGAAATGTGACCTGGACTCTTCTGTTTGGTGACGAGCAGTGTGCGGCCGTGGTTAAGGACCCCCACTCCTCCACAGCCCTTCTTTCTCTAAGGAACCTCTGAGGCTCAATCCCTGAAGGTTGGGCCTTCACATTGCTACCCTGGTAGCACAAGATTCATAGGCACTAGGGTCGCTGCAGGTGACCCTTGCCAGGGCACAGGACAGTCAGCATAGCTTCATACTTAATCTGTGAATAATAGCTAAACTTCCCAGGATTATGTTGAGTAAGAATGAGTTTTTAACTAGAAATAAAAGAATTGCCCTGCAGTCCCAAGACTGAAAAGACTTAATACTTGTGTGGCCACAGCTCCCGGGCCTGTATGGCAACCTTTTGTTTCTTCTTCCAGGAAAAAGGATGCAAAAAGCAGATGGTAATTGAAGGCCTGCTGCCTTTGTGCTAATAAAGGACCAGTGTGGCCAGCGAGCTCACACACAGCCCTTAGCCCCCTTCTGAGGAGAGTGCATGCGTTCTGTCATCTGACTAAGTCTGAAAAGGCTGCAGTGGCTTTTGATTAGTTAGTAATTGTTCTTTTGCTACTAAAATAATTAGCTTTACCCTCACTGTAAGAATTGACACATGAGAGGAGAAAGGGATTTGCCCCTTTGTGTTTTCTTCTGTGAGCTTCCACCTTTAATCTGATGGTTCTTACTGCTGCGTGCTACCTCTGTGTGTCCACGAGGACAGCGATGGCTGCTTGCTCGGCTCTCATCCTTCCTTGCGTTTCATTTCCACCTGAGTGGCCTTTTTTCTGCATGGTTTTCTGCTGGAATTTTGGGTTGCAGGTACCACAGCCTTTTCTTTGCTTCATTGCCATTTCCTGATCGCCTTTTTTTTTCCTTTCTGCTTCCTTTTTCTTTCCTCGCATTGCCATCTACAGCCAGGCTATATAAGAGATTTGGTAAGTTCTCCATATTTACAAAGAGAAAGAAATTAGACACTGTAAGGCCATAATCCTGTACCTCCACTAAGGGAGAATTCATCCTACAGCACATATAGATGAATTATATCGATTCTGTTTGGTTGCCATGGAAACATGGATGACAACTGTTTCCTGGTGTTCTAGTCTGCACTGGAACCCCAGCACATTGTTGCTCCGTAGAACTGCAGCCGGCATCCCTGTGGCCCTCTGGATGTGTTGTTGTCATTGCCCACCAGGATCTCCTCACCTGGAACATTCCTCAGTCCCGCCATACGCTAGAGTCCCAATAATGCCTCTTGTGTCGTACATAAAAATTGAAATTAACATTGTTACTTTGTTGGGATTCCCAAATGAAGCATTGGATAGTTTTTAATTCCAATTCAGTATAATTTTATGGTGGCACATAATTTTTTCATCTTTTTTATAAAAGATAATAATGTCTAATTATTTAACAAAACATTTAAAATCCTGTTTAGATAACAGCACGGATCTTGGAGGCCCATCAGAATGTAGCCCAGATGAGTCTGATTGAAGCCAAGATGAGATTTATTCAAGCTTGGCAGTCTCTGCCTGAGTTCGGCATCACACACTTCATCGCGAGGTCAGTGGGCTGCTGTGGTCTGTGTGTTCAGTTTGTCCACTCTGAAGGCAGGACTGCTTAGACATGCTAACCTCTTCTACACCAAAACTTCATGGTATTTTCTAGGCTTCCAGTTTTCTCATTAACAGCTCACAGTGATTGCATTTCTGTCTTATAGTAGTTCCATTGTTTTTAGGGTTAAAGAAAATCCCTTCCTCCATTCTGAGTGGTTTTTCTTGAATATTCCAGATTTCAAGGCGGCAAGAGAGAAGAACTTATTGGAATTGCATACAACAGATTGATTCGGATGGACGCCAGCACAGGAGATGCCATCAAAACATGGCGGTTCAGCAACATGAAGCAGTGGAACGTCAACTGGGAGATCAAAATGGTGAGCTAACTGGGAGATCAAAATGGTGAGCTAGCGCTCGCGTTCCCTCAGGTAGTCAGTCACTCAGTGCAGATGCCTGAGGGTGTAGTCCTGGACCTGGATTTGATCCGAAGGATTTAAGACAAAAGAGATAGCCTCATAAATTTTGAAGATTGGATTATGTGAGGTGATTTGCTGTAGTATTTGACACCCCCGTTAACTGCTAAGGCTGATCTGGCTAGTGAATTTTAGTGTCCCCCCCCCCCTTCTCCTCTCATACTTGGTGAAACAGACAGCCTTCCTGATGGAGCAGGACCTCCTCCTGCTGAGGCTGTCCGAGCAGCTGTGTCCCCATGCCTGAACTTTCAAACACGCTTTTAAAGGCCGCCATTGGACAGCCAAGCTTTAAGACGCCAGCCCCATCCCAGTGAAGCCCTGCATAGGGTAGTCCATCTGCAGACAGAGTAGAGATGGCTCAGAAGCTAAGAGCTGTTGTTGCTCTTCCAGAGGACCAAGATTCAGTTGTTAACACCCACATGGAGATTCACAACCCCCTGCAACTCTAGTTCCTGGGAATCTGATAACTCTTATCTGCACTCACGACAAATGTGCAGACACAACACCCGTAATCATAAAATTTAAAAAAAAAAAAAAGAGTCTAAGGATGTAGGATGTAGCGCAAGTCCTTGTAGAGTGTTTGTTTGTCTAGCATTCCTGAAACCCTGGTTGGCGGAGCATACCCGTAACCTAACACTTGGAAAGGGCAGAAATGTAAGGAGTTAGAGACTAGCCTAGGCCACAGAAGACTGTCTAAAAATATGAATAGTAAAAAATAATGTTTAAAGTGTGGACCATGTGGTTGGTTACTCATTTCTCACTTGAGCTTACCATCATAATTAAGGATTTCTTTCGTAATAGCTAAGTCCCTTTTGTAACAGCGGTCAGAGGTTATATCCTACACCTCCCTGGGCCAGGCATGACTAGACGATGCGTTTATCCTGCCTCTGAGCCTCATCACAGCCTCCTAAAGCAGGCAGCTTGCCTGGACTTCACAGATGCAGACACTCCCACTTAGAAGCCTAAGGGCTGCCTATTGTCCATGCCCACACACTTGATGACTGGCTCAGCAGGGTCTGTAAAGCCTGGTGCCCATCCCACTCTGTAGCTTGGTGCCCTTTCCTTTGTTACATTGTGATCATATAACACAGTCTCACTGGGAGGGAGGGCTATTTGACTTGGCATATATTGGATGCACTGTATCAGCTGCTATCAGAAAAACGCATCTTTCTGAAATATTTAAGCTTGATACCGAAAGGTTAAATATTGAAGCAAATGTTAAAAAACAAAACACAGGAAGTAGGTTTTCTCCCAGGATCTGAAGAGGGACATTCTCATTAATTGCATCACCTGAGAGCACCAGAGACCTTAATGACTTAACTGCCCTGAGAGCTTGCAAACTAAAGGAGTGGGGGTGACACACTTTCTTACTGCTCAGACCTCCACACAATGGCTGTTCCCGGAGTAACTGGGGATATAGTAGCATAAAGCCTGGAGCTTCCTTGGGAACTGACAGTTCTTTGTCTTTGCTCCAGGTCACTGTAGAGTTTGCAGACGAGGTCCGGTTGTCCTTCATCTGTACCGAAGTAGACTGCAAGGTGGTCCATGAGTTCATTGGTGGTTACATATTTCTCTCAACTCGCGCAAAAGACCAAAACGAGAGCTTAGATGAGGAGATGTTCTACAAACTCACCAGTGGTTGGGTGTAAATAGGAAAACTGTAATGAAACTCCACAGCCATAACAATATTTAACTTTAAAGCTATTGTTTCTTATATGCTGCTTAATAAAGTAAGCTTGAACGTTATCATTTTATCATGAAACCTTTTTGCCTTACCAGACCGGTTAATATGTGCACTAACAAGCACGATTGTTAATCTGCTGCCTACCTTGATGCCGTATGTGAACTGTGGAATACCCAACAGTCCGTAGGGCCACAAACTGAATGAAAGCTGAAGTAGTGGGTGAATCAGGAACCAGCTGTCACTGACTGGCAGTAGACAAACTTAAGAAACAAGCCATCTACTACCAAGCTACCCAGGGCATACATATAACCTATATGAAGTCTATTTATCATGTGTAATGCATGTGTTTAAGTTTAATTGATGCCCTCTTTTAAAATATCGTACTTCTGGTACCCAGTTAATCCCCTCTCCCAATATAAAAATCGGGTCTGCAATAGATGCTTGGTATTTGATGATGCCATTGACCTTGAAGGAAACACTGTTAACCTGTTGTTATCCAGTGTGTTTTGTCCTTGAGTAAGCATGTTGTACATTGTTTTGTGTTTATTTTTACACCAAACTGTATTACAATACTCTTAGTATTCACCAGCATATTCACTATCTGCCTAAGATATGCGACCTTTGTGTTACAATATGAAGTAAAGATCTATGAAGTATGCATTCTGTGTAACTAATGTACAAACACAAATTTTATAAAATTGTACAGTTTTTTTTTAAAAAAAAACTATTCACAACTAGGAAATGGCTTAAATGTAGCATCCTTGCATTAATTAAATGCTTTTAAGGTATATAATTAATATGCAGTTTCAGTATCTGCTAAATTACAAATGACTTCATGATGCTCGTGACTTGCCGTGATGCCCTTAACTACAGCCTGGACCGGCTGTGTTCTAGTCTGTTGCGCTGTTACATCTGCGTTGGTGCTAGTTAGACAATTCCTAGCTCACGAGCCCAGAAGGGCACCAGGGAGGGGTGGACTTACCAGTATTGTCCAATAATCCATGAATTAAAGACTGTATAAATGCATTTTATTTTAAATAAAAGAAAAACCTTTTATTTAAAGTTTTCTTTTTGTACTTCTGATCTCTCCTCACCCCTACACCGTGTGTTGTTAGAACAGCCCACCAGTGCTAGGCTGTGTCCCAGATGAAGAGCTCTCTCTAGGGGACACACTTTTTCCGGCATTGAGAGACCCTTGTGGTTATTCAGTTAGACTCCAGACTTTCATCATAGGCCTGGCCACCACCTCTGTCAGTCCCGTGCTTGTGCCTGTGAGGCCAAGACAGCCTCAAAAAACTGGACTCTGCTCACCTCTTCCGTGCCCCACTCCCACCCCCCATCTTGGTCGGTCTAGTCTAGAACAGAAGAGCTCTTTCCTGTTTTTTTTTTTTTTTTGGTTTTTCAAGACAAGGTTTCTCTGTGTAGCCCTGGCTGTCCTGGAACTCACTCTGTAGACCAGGCTAGCCTCGAACTCTCGAACTCAGAAATCCACCTGCCTCTGCCTTCCAAGTGCTGGGATTAAAGGCGTGCGCCACCACCACCCAGCTCTTTCCTGGTTTTAAAAATAGGATAATCTACGTGCCATCACTAAAAGCCTTAAAATACACTTGTTGAGGCTGCACTGTGGTCCTCCCCGTGCCACTGGCTGGACAGCACCTGTGCCGCCTGCCCTGCCAGCTGTGCCCTGGTGCAGCACTGCCCTGGCTGCCTTCAGCTCTGATGACTGCCCTGTGGAACAGAAGCTCAAGTCCTCACCAGTCTCCTCCAGGTCCTCCAAGCTGGGGCATCTCCCTGGGGCCCATTCTCTCCTTAAACAGTCTGGGCAGCCTCAATCTCTAGAGCAGTGGTTCTCAACCTTCCTAATGCTGCAACCCTCGTATTGCTTTGACCTCCAACCATAAAATTATTTCGTTGCTGCTTTGTAACTGTAATGTTGCTACTGTTATGAATAATAATGTAAATATCTGGGTTTTACCATGCTCGCAGGCGACCCCTGTGAAAGGGTTGTTTGACCCCCCAAGGGGCTTGGGACCCACAGGTTGAGAACCACTGGCCTAGCCCTTCATCCCATTGTCATATTATTTCCTAGCCTGCACCCCGTCCTTACCTGTCCAAATCTACATCTCCTTTTAGAATTTTTAGTTTATAGCTATTCTTCCATAAGTACTTCTAAGTTTCCTTGAAGCCAAACGTGCTTTTTGCCTTCTCTGAATAGACAGCTGTATTTAAGGGATACCAAGGCAGACCTAGAATAGA